CACATGTCCAAAGTATGTGAGATGGAGCTTCAAAATCCTTGCTTCCAAGGAGAAATTTGGTTTCACTCTCTCCAAGACAGACCTGTTTGTTCTCTTGGTGGTCCATGGTATGTTCAATATGCTTCTCCAGTACCACAACTCAAAAGCAGGCAAGGATAACCTATGCTCAAGATTATGGTACTTATGGCTACCTCTGAGGGGTGGGAAGGTGAATTGACTGGTACTGGGTATGAGCATTCTTCTGAAATGTCAACAATGTTCTATACATTGTTTTAGGTGATGTTACATGAGTGTTTAGAATTGCACATTTAAGGTTAGCATGCTCCTGTATATAAGGTACACCTCAATCAAGAGAATAGACCCACTACCTTGTCTTCTGTAGACTGTCCCAATTCCTCACTGCTGAGTGCATTCCTGGGCTGCATTTCCAGCAAGGTTCTGAAGAGAATGTTGGAAGTCACTGTCAGGAATTCTATTTCAGCATTAGGGTGGAGTCCATACAGTGCTGGGCTTTCTGGAGGAAGCATCTCCTCTACGTACTGGTGGTAGCCTGAATAATCCAGATTGGGTGGAGCTGCAAATCCTGGTGCCAGCATAAGCTCATCTTCAATCTATAAGCACAAGGAAAAGCTGGTTATCACAAATGTGGCAGGAATAGGTCTCTTCCTGATCCCAAACTTGGATAGCTCCCTGGCAAGGTATCAGCACAATAATGGATTCAGAGCAGACCCTCTAAAATGTACCATGACTGAAAGCACAGAATACCAGAAGAATATCTATTTGTGCAAGGGCATTTGACTATGTGGTTCATAACAAATTATGGCTAATATTGAGAATACTACTTCTCAGAACACTTAATTGTGCTCATGTGAGACCTAGACCTAGAGGCTGTTACTCAAATAGAGCAAAGAACGCTACATAGTTTAAAATTAAGAAAGGTGTGTGTCATGGTGGTTGTATACTCTTTCCATACCTATTCAATACCATACTTATATGCTGAACTAATTACTCAAGAAGTTAGACTCTATGACGAAGGTGGCATCAGGATTGGAGGAAGACTCTTTGATAATCTATGTTATGCAGATGACACGACCCAGGGATTCCATTACAAAGAGAAGGCTTGAGAAAAGTGGGGCCTATCCTTTCAGCTATTTTAGTACAGCAACAGGGTCTGAATGCTTGCTTGCCTTTGCGAGAAAATAGAGCCCCATTGTGAATTTCTCTGGCACTTCCTAGTTTTATGCAAACACAGGAAGGTTAAGATATAGTGAAAGTGAGAAGGACTTGAAGAGCTTGCTGCAGAAGATCAACAAGTACAATCTTCAATATGGATTACATCTCAACATCAAGAAAAAAAATTCTCACTACTGGACCAATAGGAAACAACATGATAGATGAAAAAAGAATTGGAACTGTCAATGATTTTCCCTTACTGGAATCCATAATCAACTCTTTTGGTATCAGCAGTCAGGTGATCAGGAGACGTATTGCACTGGGAAAGTCTAGAGTCAGGGACCTCTCCGAATTATTGAGAAACAATGATGTCAATTTGAGGACTAAGGTATACTTGATTCAGGCCACAGTCTTTTCAATCATTTGATATGCATCTGACAGCTGACAATGAATAAGGACGACAGAAGAATTGATGCCTTTGAACTGTGGTGTTAGCAAAGAGTACTGATTATCTCATGGACTGGCAAAAGAACAGATATATCTTTTTTTTCTTATTTTTTTCCCTTTTAAAAATATATTGGCTTTCTCACGAAGTTTACATACATTGTGTTTAATTCTATTCTTCATTCATATTGTGTTTCATACAGTTATTCCCATATATGCATGATGTTTTATAAAATCAATCACCATTGGACCTTCCTCATCATTATCCAATCTTTTTCATGTCTGAGCCACATCCTTCCCATTTCGTTCACCTGTTCCCTCCATCCACCAAAATGTGCAACCCTGTGGTTTTGCCACTACCTACCCTCACCTCTGCTCCCACCCCTTCTCCCTCTTGGGTCCCCACACATGCTTTACGGGCTATCCTTCTGTCTTTACCACAATAGTCTTATGCAGTATTCTAGAGAGAATTATGCTGAGTGAACTAACTCAGTCTCATAGGGAGAAGTGTTGCATAAAACATACATTTTAAAGACTGTACTATCTGTGTTTCATTGATTATGCAAAGGCGTTTGACTGTGTGGACCATAACAAACTGTGGCTAACTCTGAGAAGAATGGGAATCCCAGAACACTTGAAAGTGCTAATGCGAAACTTATACTTGAACCAAGAAGCAGTCGTCAGAACAACGCAAGGAAACACTGCATGATTCAAAATTGGGAAGGGTGTATCCCAAGGATATGTTCTTTCTCCATACCTTTTCAACCTATATGCAGAAAAGATCATCCGGGAGGCTGGGCTCTATGAGGAAAAATGTGACATCAAGATTGGTGGAAGATCTATCAACAATCTGTATTATGCAGATGACACAACCCTGCTTGCTGAAACTGAGGAGGACCTGACGTGCTTCCTGTAGAGGGTCAGGGACTGCAGCCTTCAATGTGGATTGAGGCTCAATGTCAAGAAGACAAAGATTCTCACCACTGGACCAATTGGCAGCATCAGGATGGATGGTGAAGAGATTGAGATTGTTCACAGCTTTAGTCTGCTTGGCTCCACAATCAACACTCTTGGCACCAGCAGTCCGGAAATTAAAAGACATATTGCGATGGGAAAGTCTGCCGTTAGGGACCTCTTTAAAGTACTGAAGAGCAACGGTCTGTCTCTGGAGACTAAGGTGCGTATGGTACAGTCCATGATCTTTGCAATCACTTGTTATGCGTCAGAGAGCTGGACAATGACCAGGGAGGATAGAAGGAGAATTGATGCTTTTGAGCTTTGGTGTTGGAGAAGAGTGCTGAGGGTACCATGGACTGCTAAGAAAACAAACAGATTCATCTTGGAGAGGGTTAAACCGGGCTGCTCCTTGGAGACAATGAGCCTGAGGCTTCGTCTGACATACTTTGGTCATGTTGTAAGGAAAGACCGGTCCTTGGAGAAGGACATCATGCTTGGGAGGGAGGAGGGACGGCGCAGGAGGGGAAGGCCCTCTGGGAGGTGGATTGATTCGGTGACTGGGGCAATCGGGATGAGTGTGTCAGAGACAATGAGATTGGCACAGGACAGAGCAGAGTTTAGGGCTGTTGTACACAGGGTCGCTATGAGTCACAAGCGACTCGATGGCACATAACAACAACAACAACAACAACAACAACAACAACATAGTCAGTGTGTTTATTGGAGGCAAAGATGATGAAGCTTGTTTCACATACTTTAGGCTTGTTGTTAGGAAAGGCTATTCCTCTGACAAGAGACTTCATGCTTGGAAAGGTGGAGGGTTGGCAAACGAGAGGAAGACCCTCAACCAGACAGGTTGACATGGTAACTGTAGCAACAGTCTTGAGTGTGTCAGAGATTGTGAGAATGGCACAGGATAGTACATGGCTCAGGTCTGCTGTTCATAGTGCTTGCTACGTGTTGTTCTCTGTTCAATGGCACCAAGCAACAACAACATTTATGTTACAAATTAGTATACTCAGAAATTAGAAGGTCAGACACTACAGTGGACAGCATGTTAATGGCAGAACTGGCACTAGAATTTAGGTCTCCTGTATTGTCTACAATCATTCTCTGTGTCAATACACCGTATCACCTACGGTAAGGAACAGGTGAATTGTTTGGGGTTTTTTGGTTTGTTTGTTTTTTATTTTCTTTTACAACTTGCGCTCCAAGCACTACATGCATATTGACTGGCACTCCCTCCAGTGCTGTGTTATGTACAGACAGACGGTAGCCTTTGGAATCAGACTGTGAATAAAGACTGTGAATTCAAATTCTAGTCTTGCTATTTTTCAGAGTTCAGCTTCCGTTCAGTCCAAACGGGATAATAAATACCTACTTTACAGGGTTAAGATGAGGAGAAGAAATAATGCACATGAATTGTGTGGTGCTGACCCTGCCTGGCACAGAGCAGTTATATAATAAAGTAGTTCCTATTACAATACAGATTACATAATGCACAGTCACATGTGAAATATATATTAAGTATTTCAATGTATACTGCATAATAATACAAATAACTCACTTATTAAGCACTGCATTCTCAACACTGCACCAAGTACTTGGTTTTTAATACTGTTAACAACCATAAATTGTTCAACCTCACTATAAATGATAACACTAAGTCGATAGAGTAATATGTGTAAAACCACAGAAAATTAAAAAAAAAATCATAGCTCATATTCTTGTTCTTCTATTATTACCAATTTTTTTTTTTTTTGTTCTAGATGCCATTCTATTTTCCAAAAAGAATTCCACCACATTCTTATTTAGCACGGCCAAGTGTAAGCCTTAAATGAGAACATGTTCTCCTCTCTGATGGCTGTCAGTAGCCCTCCGAGGCACATTGGCACTGAGCAGTGTGGGGTCTCTGAGCACAGAGTCACTCATCCAACAGGGAACTCATCCTTCCCACGCAAAGGCATCACAGACAACCAACTCATTCTTTTGATCTGAGCAGAGGACCTTAAAGCTCATGCCACTGATGGGCTGGTTTTCTGATGAAGTGCCAACAAAACCAAAGATGCTAATTTCCAAATAAATTAACCGAGATGAACAGTGGCAAAAAGATATCCTATAGATGTGAGGTGCTAGATCAAGTAGATAGTAATAGAAACAACACAAGGAGGTTGCATTTGGAGAACAAAGTAAGTGGGATTTGGGGCTTTTGAGATTCAGTTGCTAAGTGTGTTAATGTTCTTCAGAAGACTGCAAATGGGGTGTCCCCTCCCTTCAAAGCTCACCAAATCTAAACGTACAAAGCCCTCACACAAATCAAGGATACCCCTCAGGTTCCACCACCTGTATTTATTTTACAGTTACTTGAATGGGAGTTCAGCTTTATGAAGGTTAATGGACTGCCTCATTTGGCAACAGTAATTCTCCCCTTATCTGAAAGCCCAAGCTAGAAGAGCGGTCCCTCGCTCTGCCCTTTGGCCTCCACCGTCACTCTGAGAAACCAGTCTCTGCAGAGGTCGAGTGCATAGCACTGTTTATCCTTCCCATCTCCATGGTAACCTGCTCCCAGACCTCTTCTGAGGAGTGACTTCCAATTGTGTTAAATGGAAAGTGTCTTTCTGACATGTGAAATCCTGCTCATTAGACTGAGCAGCGACCAGGAGACTCTCAATCTAAAGAAACACTTGAGGGTCACACACACTAGGGAAGTTTGTTTGTTTTTCACCTCTGTATTGGTACAAATGTAGCAACATTATTAAAAGTAGTAAAAATGATCTATCCTTACTTTTCAATTGTTGGTTTGCTTTTTTAAAATTTTTTTGTGTTTGTGTGTGTGTACCGACAAGTCGGATCTGACTGGTACAGGAGGAGATTGTCCCTCCCTCTCCAGCACAGCATCTGGGAGATCTGAACTGCTCACCTCTGGGATTGCAGTGCAGCTTCTTGCCACTAGGCCACCAGAGCTCACCTCTACTGTTGTTATATGCTGTCAAACTGGAACAGACTTAGGGCTGGCCCTCCAGTGAGTTTTCAGAGGTAATCAAAAGCACGGGAGACTCCCATCCTTCTCCCCAAAGCAGCTGTTGGATTTGAACCATATGTCTTTGGTTCAACTCCTTACCATGAGTGGCATCCACTTCCTAAACAACATGCCTCTAGAAACTCTACAAACTTTGATAAATGTCGATGCCTATAGAAAGGCTTCAGGCCTTTTATTCATAGGATTGCTGTGAATCGTGCTCAACTCGATGGCAATCAACAACAATTTTCTATTAGTCTACATATAGACTAACTTTCTATTGTTGTTGTATTCTGGGGGGCCAGAATTGATTCAGAGCTGTTCCTCCAGTGGGTTTTCAGAAGCAGTATATTACATGGGAGGAGATTCACCATCTTTCTCCAGTGGAGCAGCTGGTGGATTTGAACCACATACCTTTGCATTGGCAGCACAATTCCTTACCACTAATCTACCAAAGCTCAACTTTCTATTTGTCTATAAAAACACAGTACTGCTTCTCAGAATGTGCTCAAGGAGGGCGAGCAAAGCTGTGTAATGACTTTAGAGATGTTATAAAAGCTTTGAGAGAAATTATAAAGAGAGTAGTGATCAAAATATCAAAAAGAAAGGAACAAGTGCAAACATTGCTCTAAATCAGTCAGTGTTTTGCACGACAGGAAGTAGAGGTGGTAGAGCATAGGGTGCCTTGGTCTCAAAGAAACAGTCAAGTCCAGAAAACGAAATGATTCAGAGGTGAAACCAGTTGCTCTCGAGTTGATGCTGAGTCATGGCAAGGTCACGTGTGTGTCAGCACAGAGCTGTGTTCCATCGGGTTTTCAGTGATTGACATTTTCAGTAGATCATCACGTCTTCCTTCTAAAACACCTCTAGGTCTACTTGAACCTCCAACTTTTCAGTTAGCAGCCAAGTGTACAAATTGTTTGCACCACCTAGTGATTCCATTAGAGGGAGAGGGCATGAGAAAAGTGTGGCCACTTCTTTCAGCTGACGTTAGTAAAGGAACAAGGTTGGAATGCTTGTACAAAAAAAAATAGTGTCTTGTAAATGTCTCAGCGTTTCCTAGCTGTTTGCACACAGAGCGTGGATGAGATACTGAAGATGAGAAAACGGAAAGGGGTGATTTGTGGCTTTACATTCCCAGAAAGGGGTGCCCTCTTCTCATAAGAGAAAGACTAAGTGGGCTTGCATATCACTACATTTTTCTTGCATGCAGATTTAGTAGAGATACTGTTATGTGCCATTGAGCCAGAACTGATCCACAGATGACCCTCTAGTGGGTCTTCAGAGGCTGTAAGTCACAAGGAGGAGATGGTCCATCTTCCTCCCACAGAGCACAGACGGATCTGAACCATGTACCTTTGCATTAGAAGCACAATTCCTTGCCACAAAGCCACCAGAGCTCCCTAGTAAGGAATCAGTGATCAAAATTTAGAGTATTTCCCCATTTCTGTGACAGGGAAATAAAATTGTAATGATATACTCAACTCATTGTCGCTGAGCTGGAAATGACTCATAGCTGACTCTCCATTGGGTAGTTTGCCCAAGAGGAGATTGCCCATCTTTCTCCTGTAGTTACTGGTGGATTTGAACTTCCAGAGAGGCTGGATCTTTGGGTTAGCATTGCAAGTTTACAGATGATGCCAAGAGAGTCTCTAAAATGAGTATTAGAATTGAAATTAAAAGAGCTACATTCCTTTTTTTTTAAAGAGCTACATTCTAACTAAAGTTCTTCCCCAAATGAAGTGACTTGGGAGAAACACCATGCCTCAGTATCTTTGTCTGCAAAATGGGACCACAATGTCAGCTTTGCCTATCTCAGCAGGGTGGCTGTGGAAATGCGTGTTGTGCTTCCGAAGGCCCTGTGTAGAGCCAGAGAGTCTGCATTTTAGCAAATCCTCAAACTTCCTCAAGAGCAGATGAGAAAGATACTGGTAGGCATCATAGAGTTGGTTCCAACTTACAGTGATCCTACATACAATAACACAAAACGCTGCCCACTTCTGCTCTATCCTCACAATTGCACCGGAGCCACTGTTGTGGCCACCTCGTCATCCTCTCTTTCACTGACCTACTACTTCATCGAGCATGACCTCCCGACAGGCTAGAATACACTCACAAACCCCCCAGAATACTCAAACACATTAAAGAATGATGTGTTTAGTGCAGTGAAATTGTTTTTAAAAAAATAACTTACAGAATTTTCTGTTCTGTGAAATGAATTTTAAAGTAATCTTACCAGAGCTGGATTCATGAATTCCTCTAAATAAACTCGGCAGAGCCTGCGATCCCAGTCATCTGTGATGTGGCCCCCGTACATGATCTCGCCAAAGAGATAGCGGAGGTCTTCCCATGGAACCTGGGGGATGGGGGAGCACAGGGACATCACATAAATGCTCCCTTCTGGCTCAGGTGTCTGTCTCAGGGTGACCAATGCAGGCAGGGTTGCGATATATAAGCACTGTGCTGTCTAGTCCCACCTGTCCCCAAATATTTAAGAGGTTCAGAAACTGCCAACGTTTCTCATTAGAACTTCTTGGGAAAATGATTTTTAATCTGTTTTTAAAGTATGCAGTGAAGATTCACTATTATTGAGTTAATGATGAAGATGTTAAAGCAAACAGAATCATTCCTGGAACATATCCTACAAGAAAGTATATATATTCAAAATGTCATGCAAAATTCATGAGAGGATATTGACTTAAGGCTTTGAGTATTCCATGATTTAGATAGACAATTACCATCCATTTTTTATGATCTGATTCAGGAAAAGAAAGACAAATCCATATAATGTGACTCTGGGGTACACTTAGAAGTCTATATTTTCCAAAGGCTATGCAAATATGTCCCCTTGCCACCAAATGACTGAGGGCTCAGTTTATGGTATGTGTGGCCTAAATGATTGTTCTATAGGTTGTAACTAATGACTATACTATGTTTTATTCAAGAAATCACGGTATCTCCTCTTTATTTGGCTTAACAGGGTTTGAAGCCTCCCTTTGCTACCCTTTAGCTTCCTCTGGGTTTGCAAAACATGCCAGTTTGTGATGAAGCCTTACCAGACAGGAACCTTTATATCCTCCGGGGCAGTATATGCCTCCCAACAGTTCAAGTAAAAACTTAATTATAGCCTTCATTTGTTGCATGATGTGACAGAACAGAACAAGTAAAATTACTTCAACTCTTGCAATGTGCTTGCTACGAGTTTATTTGAATTTGAATAAATGAACCTCAAATATGTCTTTCTTTTAAGCTAGATTGATATGAATGAAAAATTAAGAAGTGACTAGACTGAAATACGCTTTCTCCACCACTCCACAGATCACCTTCCATAGAGCTGAAGTGGATGGGAAGCACAGACTTCTTCATTTGCTTTCCCGTCCTGATTACATTTAATTAATGCCTGCTCTATCTCCCTCAAGATTTCAGTCAGCTAGGGAACAGTGCTTTTCAATAGCTCACTCTCTTTCACCAAATCTTGACCTACTTTGTATGTACACCTTCTTGAAAAGAACATTTTGTTTCAACAAAATTGTGTGTACAAATGTACCATAATTACAAAGTCCTGGTAACTTGTTTTGTGATGCATTGTAAATTACTTGGGTCAAGACCTTGGTGAGATGAGCATGTCTAAGAATCTAAGGTGTATGTTAAGTCAAGAAAAACAGAGTGATTACATTGGCCATCTGGTGTTATCATGTGGAGCCGTACTGACACACAAGTGCTAACTCCCCCATTTGCCACCCTCCCCCGTGTCTACCTCAGTTGTACACAGAATTCAGCAGAAGTAGTAAAATAGCCCTGTTCCCAGTCTTATGGGATGGCTATGAAGGTCTTAAATCAAACTAATCAGTGGTTTATTTCGTCTCCTTCCCAGAGCTACTATAAGAATCAATTGCAGTAGGTTTCATAAAACTTGATGAAATAAATAAAAGCACAAAATGCAATTGTAGAATGTATAAACTATGCTCAAAGTAAACAGGTTTAATTTTTAATTTAATAAATTAAAGGAGATAGATCTGAAATATCATTTCCTTCTAGAAAACCAACCAATAGTAAATGCCAAGTGTATATACTCCTATAAAAATCAAACTACTTTTGAATCTAGAGCAAACTTGGGCAGCAAAGACAGTGATAAGAATGGTTATCAGAACAACATGAAACCACTATTTATTCCAAGACTCATAGATGAGTTATTTTAAAGACCCTTTGCAGATATGTTACAGATCTTGTTGGTTTTGACAAATATCCAAATTTCAAGAGTTTTAGCTTAACAGAAAAAGTTCCCCTTATAAACATTAAACAGAAAAATATTCTTAGGAATGGCTCTTCTTTAGAAAAAAAGCAATCATTGGCCTTATAACTTTGTATGCTAATATTCCTGATGAAACATTCTCATCCTCTTCTGTAAAACACATTCTAGCTGTGAAATAAAATCATTCATCTACCTTTAACTTCAAATCAAGGGGACCATTACTGAGAAAGTCACAACAAGGTGGCATCCTTAATACATAATAATGACATATGCAGGAAATGCACCATTATTTATACATGTGACGTGCTGTAAATTGCTTCCATCATCAGAACTAATTGTAGTGATTATTAATGCAGTGTTATGAACTGTCAGAATTGCTGTATGTAATTACATTTGTGCAAATGCTTCATTACCTGCCTAATGAATCTGGCATATATGCACATGTAAACCACTGTTTTTGTTAACATAATGAAGGACATTTTTTTCTTCTTTTTTTTGGCACTAAGCTGCTGATGTGGAACTGGTTTGACCTATATTAGGAAGTTCAAGCATCCACTGCTGGGAAACCTTTGATCTGGTTTATTTTCACTCTTGGCAGAAGATGCGTATATGGTGTCAGCTCTTTGAATAATAGCTTCAACAGAGAAATTATGGTCCATTTTGAGCATGACCAAGGACTGACAGATTCAGTCCACTCCTCAGAGGAGGTTATTGGACCACTGGCACTTACGTTAGGGTTTGCCTCTAAATAGTTGTAGAGGACGTTGGCACAGATGGTGAGGTCTCCAGGATTGAAGGGATAGTGGCGGCTCCAGCCCTGGGGGCCAAACCGCAGTCTCCCAGCAACACAGGCGTGGAAGTAGCACAGAGAAAAGAGAATGCTCTTAAACTCCTGCTCCTTGGAGCATATTTCCAGTGTGTCCTGGAGAGAAGAGAAGAGATGTTTGATTATATGTCTGTACCATCTCTTTATTATCACATTTTGAATAATAAAGGATTTTGAACAAAATACCCAATAGAGTTAACATATAGTTTTCAGCATGGCAATGTATTCTAACCCACTGCTGTGCTGGCTTATGGGCTTCTCTGACACTGGGAGCTAGCAGGTTTAACGACGATGGTTAAGTTTTAGAAGATCTCTAAGATAAAAACAGATCCGGAAGAAAGGATTAGTATCCCCTTATAAAAATGAACCATTGAATACTTTGTGGATCACAGCAATTGTTTGTCCTATCTAGGCCAGAAGATGAACTCTCTAGATTACAAAATGCTCCGAGTACACAGAAGCCATTATAATGGATGGGACATATAAATGATTGCAAGGATGATGCAGGACCAGGCAATCATTTGTCCTATTAGACGTGCTGTAGCTGCAAATCAGAGCTGACCCCACCACCACCACC